AGTGTGGCTTCCTTTGAGATAAAAGGAGAGCATGAGAACATATCTTCCAGGGTCAGCTTTACAAAAGTGTGTGGAAATGTCTGCAACCTGCCCAGCCAGCCCTTCTCCACATCATGCCGTAGCCACAGAATGACATCAGATGGCTGGGGAACTTCTAGGTTTGTGGGAGTATAGAATGGGAACTGGAAAGTGTGGATGAGAGGGCAGAAAGGAGGAAGTGAATGTATTTTTTCCACTTTTACTTAAATTGTTGCTTTCTGCAGCCTCAACTTTTAAAGTGTGGGCTGTTTTTTTTTTTTTTTTAATGATCATGAGTCCATCTGATGTAGATGTCTGCCAAGCAGTCCATATGAGTTCATATCAATTAGTTGTAGATTGTGCCTTACAGCTTTCACCATTTTGCCAAGTCTAGGTTCTCCTTCTCTTATGGATTGGGAAGAGCCTGTGGTCTTGCAGACCACTTTACTCATGTCCAGAAGTTAATTAGAAATGGGGACTCTAACCCTTACCACTTCTCCCTCTACCATCCAACTCTCCTCCCACCTGACTCAGGCTTCCTAAGTGAGGGATGGGGACCTTTGTTCTTCTGTCATTTGAGGGGGAGCTCATGGTCTTTGTGTCTAAATGTGTAGCAGCCAGGGTCCAGGACAGAGTTTTTACCCACAAAGTAGACATATCTTTGGTCAGACCACCTGACATGTTTAGGCATCTACTTCTCCAAAGGCTAGGAAATGCATCAGGAACTGGAGGTAAGCAAGGCAAACTTTTGAGGATGCAACACACAAGGTACAAGAGGAATGTTTTTAGTGTCTTTTTTAAAAAGGCGCTTTAATGCCAGAAATTTTGACTCTCCATGGCACATAACCATGTGTTTTGTGATGTTAAGTTGCATGTGTTACATGCAGTGAATACTCAAAGCCTCCAGTGGGCAAATACCATGTGTGATGCCCAATCTGTACATCTGGGCACGTGGTGATGGTGGTAGTGGTATTGGTAGTAGTAGTATCAGCATTTAAATAGTGTTTTAATGTTTGAAATGAACTTTATAGATGTTAATTTCATTTGATCCTCACAATTTGCAAACTGAGGCAGACGGAGGTTAAGTGACTTGCCAGGATCCCACAGTTAGGAAGTTTCTGAGGCAGGATTTGAACTCAGGCCTTCCTGACCACAGGTCCAACAGTGTTCTATCCACTGCTTCTAAATGTTCATAAATGCTTTGTTCCAGTTTTAATGTTTGATAAGGGAAGAGGAGTGGAGAAAAAACTGATGGTGCCTTAGAAAATATCCTGCTGTTATGTTGGATAAATAAAAAGGATAACTAAGTAAGGGATGGAAACCAAGTGGGTAAGGGAGGAAATTGATGTAATCTGGGTTAGAGGTTGGAGGAGTTACCAGACTCTTGGATTCTGGAATTTCACCTAGGCTCTGTCTGGTGTGTTCCAGCCAGCTTGACTCCCTTGTACTTCCCAGAAACTCAGAGATGGATGTGACCAGAGACCATCTAGTCCAGGGTGGGGAACCTGGGGCCTCGAGGCCACATGTGGCCCTCTAGGTCCTCAAGTGCGGCCTTTTGACTGAATCCAAACTTCACAGAACAAATACCCTTAATAAAATGATTTGTTCTGTAAAACTTGGACTCAGTCAAAAGGCCACACTTGAGGACCTAGAGGGCCACATGTGGCCTCGAGGCCCCAGGTTCCCCACCCTGGACTAGTCTAACATGTACCCGAGCAAGCATGCCCTTCATACCACACCCAGCAGAGGTCCATCTGACTTTTGCTTGAAGGCCTCCAGGGAGGTGGAACCCACCACCTCACAAAGCAGCCATTTCTTTTTTGGGATACCTCTTACTTGCTGAAAAGACTCCCCTCCCATGTCAATCCTGAATTTGCCTTTTTGCAGTTTTCACCCATTGCTTTTGGTTCTTTTCTCTGGGGGTCAGTCAGAACATGTCTGATACTGTTTGATATGATGGTCCTTCAAATCCTTGAAGGCAGTTATGCCCCTGCAAGACTCAGGGTTTTTAACTTGGAGTCTATGAACTTGATTTAGATAGATAGATAATTATTTCAAAATAATTGTTTCCCTTTATAATCCAAAGTATTTTATGTATTTAAAAACATTCTGAGAAAGGAAGGGTTTATGGGCTTCCCCAGACTGACTGCCAGAGGGGTCCATAACTCAAAAAAGGGTGAAGACCTCTTACCTAAGTCTTATCTCCTGGCTGAAAATGCAACCAAACTTTATGAAGTTGAAGTCTTTCACCATTGTGGTCACTGCCCACCTTAATGCTCTCCAGCTTATTAAAATCCTCCTCAAAATGGAGTGCTTAGAATTCAGCATAGATGTGGTCTGACCTGGGCAGAGGCAGCTTTGGAGAAATTAAAAAGGATATAATTGGAAATGCTATCTACTAGGTGTCCCAAAAATCTTAGTGTAGTGTTAAAGCCTGGCATCTGGGGGTAAAGAGGTGGGGAGAAAATTGAGCAATGTTCAGTCCTCCCCTTACATTCCTCGTCCCCCTCTTCCCACTATGGATCTCCTAACAGATCCTGTCACTCTTCTGATCTGGGTTGCCATCCGTCCGGGGTCCACTTTCCCTAGGGTGTCTTTCTGCCTCACTTCACCCCCAGTTGAGCTGTTTGCGTGGAGACTCTTGCTTCATTGATTGCTCAGGGTGAGCTGTAAAGGCAGTTGGCCTTTTAGGTGCACCTATGATGTATCATTTAGGAAAAACTAAATCAAACTAAAGAGCAGAATGTAAAATGTAAAATAAAGGGGAGAATGTAGAAAACCCGATGCAGGACAAATCATCATAGTAGAACTCAGCTTCTACTCAGCACCTATTTCTGTGTGAGGGGGAAGAAGAGTTTTAAAACTTATTTTACCTTAAAAAAAAAAGATTAGGGGACCTATCCCTGAGCCTTGTGAAATCATTCAAGTCAAGAATGTTCAATCAAAATATTCTGTCCCACAAATATTTCTCAATTTAGCTGTATCAACAGGAGCTAGACATTACATATCATGAGGATATGGCTTTGCAAAGCCTC